CCCCAAAACCCCAAAACCCCAAAACCCCGAGTTAGCTAATATAGTAATAAAATAGAGAATTCTAATTTATTTTATAAAGAGTATAAATAATGAAATAGGCAAATACTAAGGAGTCTTGCTTCAAATAGCTTAATCTTAAACTCTTCATAATATTCATGATAGACATAATTGGTCTTTCCGTCCACGTTTTGAATGTAATTTTGATGTCTCTGACGAAGAACAGCAAGACATAGCTTTTGCAAAAATTAATTTAAAGCATATAAGACACTGATCACAAGGACATTTTTGGGATTTCACTCAAGCAATAGTATGATCAACTTCAGAATTGTATTAGTGCTATGATTGTGATAGCAGTAGTAATTTTGGCGTTAGTCTACTTGCCTAGAGTAATCTTATTTGTAGCCTTCCAACTTAGAACAAATAATCAGGCCCTTTAAAAGAAAATATTTGTGATAAGAATAGTAACAACTGTTATATTGATTCAAGCAGCTATTGCTTGTATTGTCGCACTCACTACATTATACTTGGAAAACGACAAGCATTTCTATTTTATCAATATACCTGGAATAGCAGTCTATAGTGTAATTCTATTTTGGGGATTAACTATGGATATCTACTTTATTGTGGTTTACCAAAGGAATTTTAGTGAAAATAAGACAAATAATGGAGGCATTAACAAAGTTTAGAATTAAAAGGAATTGGGTCTTAATCTCTCAATTAATGGCAACAATAATCACCCTAATAGATTTGACAATGAAACATCTAGAAATATCACTTAAACTAATTTAGTCAGCTAAGATGTCACTTACGAGCAAGATAGGACTATCGAAAATGATTTAACTCTCCATACTAAAAACTGAATCAGATAAGATAAGATAAGAATCTAAGTATCATATTATTAAGCTAAACTTAATAAATCTAAGGAAATACTTATGAATTTAATAATAAATTATTTTCTGTTAAAATTCTTAAATTTAGCTCTAAGGGGTTTTGGGGTTTTGGGGTTTTGGGG